AGGGTTGCGATCCGCTGCCGGTCATGAAAAAAGACAAAAAGGAAAAAAAAAAAAAAAAGACAAAAAAAGGAAAAAAAAAAAAAAGAAAAAAAAAAATAAAAAAAAAAGAAAAGAAAATAAACAAAACAGTTACAAAGAATTAAAATGAACACTGATTCTTTATACACACTTCTTTTGTTTAAATTATTTACCTCTTGTGAAAGCTGTGTTACTTGGTCCTTTTGATGCTCCAGGTCTTTTACAATCAATGAATTTTGTTTCTCTAACTGAAGCACTCTCCTTGCCAAATGGACACTAGGTGAGTGAAATGAGAAAATTAATGCTTACAAAAGTGGAATTCTATATAAAATATTCAAAATGTGTTTGTGTGTTTGAGAACTGACTTACCATTTCCTAATAATACTTAAATATTAAAAGAAAAAATATGGAGTCAAATTATATTTTCAGGTGCCAACAGTGAAAGACCAATACACCAACAACTCAGAATTTTGAAAGTAACAACATAAAAATCTTTATAACATAACTTTGATATACTGCTTACTACAGTAATGGTTTCTAGTCTTTGCTATAAAAGTGGAAATTGCATTACACTTGCTTGAAAACACCACAAAACAGCAATTTACAGCTTTTCTCCACTTTTATAAAATTTCCAAATTAAAAACAAATTGGGAAATTAGTTCAAATATTACGAACAATAATATAATAATGAGCTTGCATTCTGAGAGGCAGTTTTATCTCAGACAACATAATGCATTTTATATTCAACACAGATGAATAGGTTTCCTATTGAAAATGGAAGTGGAAAAGATGTGTAAAACTTGGAGAATGTCTGTACTAAAGGCAAAGATTCCTTACTAAAAGAAATCACTCCCCCGATGATCTGCATTACTACAACTTCTTGTACTGACCTTAATGTTAAATGTGAAATGTCCCAATTCTACTTTTAAGAAACAATTTTAAGGAAAAAAAAAATGTTTTGTCTATAAAATCATCCCTTCTAACCATTTGGGGGAAAAGTGGCATAAATTTTAAAGAACTACTAATTATTTTGAGAAGACATGTTGCTCCAAAGATCTTCTCTGTATTTTTAATAACTTAAAAAATTTCATATGCGAGTACTTCAAAGAGTTCGTGGAAAAATGGAATTAAAAGATAATACAAATCTTTCCATAAGCTTTTTGAAGTACTCCTGTATTTATCATATTTTTATGTTCTATATCAGTTAATCTATTAATTTAATCTGTGAATTGCAGAATCCATGGAATCCAAGAAGACAGGATGTTTTACAATGAAAATAAGTAAGATATCTGCTCTAAATAAAATTATAGAACAGAAAGAATTCATTTGTGTTTTTAACATTTCCTAATATCACAAAAATGAACGCAGACAGAACTCTGAAAATAATGCTACATATCATCTTACACATCTATTTCTAATAACTCATTATTCCAAATAAAAAAGGTGATTTCTGGTAAAAGTTTATCTGATGAATTGAGTAGCTTGTTTAGACATAAGATTTTGTCTTTTCAACTTGTATAAGATTTTGCTTTAAAAATCAGTTGAAGTTAGAGATGGAAATACAATTCCCATTTTTTCATAACCATTCTTTTTTCACAAAACAGCTTTATCCTCATTTAATTTTACTGATATGCAACTTATATACTGTAATGTCCACCCATTTAAAGTGTACAATTCAATGGTTTCCAGTATATTTAGGGCTGTGCAACTATCATTATAACCTAATTTTAGAACATTTTCAATACCCCAAAAAAGAAACTTTGTGTCCATTAGCAGTAACTCTCCATCCTCCCGGCCACCCACCTGCATTAGGAAATCACTAGTCTACTTTCTTTCCTTACAGATTTTTAAGATGTTTACAGTTTATGGCTATCCTGTTTTTCATTCCCCAATGTAAATAAATATACCAAGTTCTAATATGACCCCAAAATAATAAGATCTCTACAAATAAAATAAATCTTAATGCTAGTTTTGTGTTATGTTTACATTTTAAATCTGTTGATTCTGTTAATATGTTTGCAAACATCAGTATTTTATGTCATTAGCTGTTTTTTATTAGGTTAATTTAAAAACCTTGGAGCTATCTTCATTCACATTTTCGTTCTTTCTTTCTCACCCTTAAGTATGTTAGGTGTCAGGTGTTTCATCTTTCTGTCTTTCACAAAACTTAGCATCAGGGTCTTCTGCACATGGTAATTTCTTGATAAATGTATGTTGAAGATACAGACCATATTTGTGCAATACTCATTATAGAAAAATGAACTCAAATGCAATTACACAGAACTAGAGTTACAGATGAGATGAAATGGAAGACGAAGAGTTGCAAGAAAATAATGAGTTGCAAAGGTCACCCATTACTAACATTCTGGAGAAGATAATGACTTGAAGACATCAAGTTTAATAACATTAAATTGCTCATTTAGTTTGGATGCTTTTTGTTTTGTTTGAGAATTGCATAATACTCTTATGCAGATGTGGTGATAGCATTTACCAGTGCAAAATATCCTATGACATAAAACACTGATTCAAGAAATTCTTTTTTACCCAATTCTTTTTTTAAAAATTGAAATATAATTGATTGTACATATCTGTGTCGTACAGTGTTGAATATCAATACCTGTGTGCAATACGTGATGCTCAAATCAGGATAATTACTATATTCATTATTATACCATGTATTTATTTTTTGTGGCCCTTCACCAGTTTCTCACTAACCCTTCCTATCCCTTCCCCTTCCCACCTCTGGGTGGCCTCAGTTCTGTTCCCTCCTTTTTTGGGGGCTTCTTAGTGAGGAAAATCAATTCTAAATAAAAGAAATATCTTACGCTGTCTTGAAATTGCTCATAAATGTGCTCTACAGTACTCTGATTACTAGTTTATAGTACAATTTTATTGAGAAAAACTTTCTAGTAACTAATGCTGATGGTAATGATTGTAAATATTACTATGAATACTGATGTCCTTTATGATGCATAAGGATTATGATGTGCTTGAAATTGCTCATAAATGTGCTCTACAGTACTCTGATTACTAGTTTATAGTACAATTTTATTGAGAAAAACTTTCTAGTAACTAATGCTGATGGGAATGATTGTAAATATTACTATGAATACTGATGTCCTTTATGATGCATAAGGATTATGATGTGGAAGACACTGTGGTACAATTGATCTCTGATGTAAACGGTTCACATTTAAAAAATTTATTTCTAAATTAGTTGTAAGAATAGCAGAACATATTCCTCATAGATACGTCAGAAATGGCATTAAGGTTCTCAGGTTGCCCTAAAACCTATTTAGCCCATTACCGTAGTTAAAATAAAGAGAAAAGAGAGAGAGAGAGAGAAAGCAAAACAAGAATAAACAATACTGTGAAACTTTTCATTTAAAGATTATATTAGTGGGCCGGCCCGGTGGTGCACTGGATAGTGTGCCGCTTGGGAGCGCAGCGGCGCTTCCGCCGAGGGTTCGGATCCCATGTGGAGACCGGTTCCCGCTCACTGGCTGAGCGCGGAGCAGGCGCAACACCGAGGGTTGCGATCCTGTTGCCGGTCCCCAGTACGGGCGCGACACCGAGGGTTGCGATCCCGTTACCGGCCAGTAAAAAAAAAAGACAAAAAGGAAAAAAAAAAGATTATATTAGGATTTATTAAGATTATAAGGAATATAAAAGATTATATTAAGAATTAATTAAAAGAAATATAAAATATACCTAGGCACAAAGAATGCAGCAAAAACAAGAAATAATTTTTTAAATCATTATAACACTTGTGAAAAAACAATAAAAGAAAATTAGCAATTTTTTCTTGATCATGAGTACCAGTGACTATAGCAAAGCAACTTGAATTAGAAGAAACATACTCATTAATTCATTCAAAAAGATATTCATGAACTGGGGCTGGGCAGTTAGTTTGGTTGGTTAGAGTGTGGTGCTGATAACATCAAGGTCTAGGGTTCAATCTCTGTACTGGACAGCTGCCAAAAAACCTCCCACAAAAACAAAACAAAAGAAGACATTTATGAACACTTTATTTTAACAAACATTTATTTAAAAGCTGTAATCTGCATAGGCACTGGGAATACACAATTTCTACCTGGAGGATCTAATAGTATACTGAGTTAGATAGAAAAACAAAAAAACACTGTAGTGTGCTAAATGTTAAGAAAGTGCATGCTAAGAAGTGAAAACTAATACTGACTAATCTGGTAACAAAGCGGAGAAATAGCATTTTGGGTGGAGAGACAAGCCTTAGCAAAGGATGATCTGCTGAGGAAAATTCTAGGTAGTATGGTATGGATTGGTAAAATATACAGTGCAGGGTTGGCCCCATGGCTCACTCGGGAGAGTGTGGTGCTATTAGCACTGAGGCCATGGGTTTGGATCCTATATAGGGGTGGCCGGTGCACTCATTGGCTTAGCCGTGGCGCAGACAAAACCAAGCCAGGGGTTACAATACCCTGACTGGTCAAAAAAAAAAAAAAAGAAAAGAGAAAAAAAAACCCAAGAAAACAAAAAAACAGTGCACAGTAAGGGTTGAAGCTAGAGAGATATTGGCAGGGATATCTGATGAAACCCCTTATATGACAAGCTGAACTTGGATTTTATCCTGAAGTTGGTTAGGTGTGATATGATAAGATCTGCACTTGAGAAAGAATACTCTGTCAACAGTGTGGAGGATGGCTTGAAGAAGGAAGACTACAGCCAATTAGAATGTTATGGTCACAATCTAGACCGGTGGTCTCCAAAACTAGTTATGTGCAAACTAATCTGATGTAGTGTGAGAACTTTTGTTTATATTTATTTTAATGTCATATATGTTTAAGTTTTCGTTTTCTGTGTAGGTTTTATATCATTATGTACATAATACAACATGTTGTTCATATGATAGTACATGTATATAATCTATAAATAGAGTACATATATGTATACTGGTGAGTGCATGCTGAAGTTTTTTGCCAGTAGTGTTTCATACCAAAAAGTTTGGAGATCACTGTTCTAGGTCAGCTTTGTCCAACAGACATATAAATGTGAACCACACATGTAATTTAAAATTTTCTAGTAGCCACATTAAAAATAATACAAAGCAATTACCATACACACTATAAAAAATTTTACTCAAGGGCCGAGCCCGTGGTGCACTCGGGAGGGTGTGGCGCTGGGAGCGCAGCAGTGCTCCCGCCGCAGGTTCGGATCCTACATAGGGATGGCCGGCGCGATGCGCTCACTGGCTGAGCGTGTTGCGGCCAGTCACAAAAAGGACAAAAAAAAAAAAATTT